TCTGGCGGGAGCTGGCCCTGGAGGCGCAGGGGCCGCTGTACCGCAAGGGCAGGAGCTCTGGACGAGCGGCCCAGAGACTTGGATTCTGCGTCCAGCGCTGCCACCACAGGCCTGTGTGGCCTTGGATGAGTCGCTTTCCCTCTCTGGGCTTCCTTTTCTCCAAGGAGTCTTGGGAACTCGTGCTAAGTCTGAGGGAGGGAGAAGCCGCTGCGGAATTTCTGTTCTGTTTTATGTCCCGGACTGAGAACAGACTGGGAGGGACAGCAGCCTCGCTCCCTCCTTGTCCTGGCAGGGACCCCCACCTTGCAGGGCAGGCCCTAGAAGGCCCCCAGGAGCGGATCAGAGGGGCTGGGAGAAGGGGGTGCCCAGGGCACAGTGGGGAGCAGGGGCGGAGCGAGTGAAAGGGCTCTGGCTGCCCTCCCGCCTTTCACATCTTTTTTACTTCTCTGACTCTAGAAGGGGAGGCAGAGGAGGGGTTATGAGGTCACACCAGAGGGAGAGTCTGCCCAGGGAACTTTAGTCTCTCGCTGCTAGAGGACCCCCCAGGGGAAACGGGCATGCAAGCCAAGGGCAGCCTTGGAGAGACAAGGCGCGGTTCTCTATAAGCGGGCGGATTCCGGGGCTGCTGGGTCCCCCCACGCATCATCCCATTTAATCCCATTCAGCTGCAGGCGTCAGGGACCCAAGCTGCATTTTGATAGTAAGTCTGATGCTCAGAGAGTGAAAGAAACCACCCAAGGTCAAATGGCCCATGAGGGGACGTGTCTGGCTCTGCACAGCCCCAAGCCTGCTGCAAGGGGCAGCTCCCAGAGCTGTGTGCCACCCCAGCTTCAGGGTCTCACTGTACACACACATACTCACACCCACGCACACACACACACACACGCACATGCACGCACACACATACACACGCACACGCACAGACCCCAGGCCTCGATCCGTCTAAATCCCTCCGAGTGGTGTCCCTAGACCTGGCCTGGTGTCCACTGAGTCAGGTCCTAACCTGGTTCATGGAAAGGGCCCTGGACCCAGAGCCAGCCTCTAATGCACTGGGTCACCCTGCAAAGGCCACTTCCCTGCGGGCTTCAGGGTCCTCTGTGAAATGACATGATGTGACCCAGTGATCGCAGAGCCTGTCGTGCTCCATCATGTATTCACTCACACGTTTCCTGCATGCCTGCAACGTGCCACGCAGTGTGTCACCTGCTAGGGCTGGGGTGGCCGCCGTTTTCTCTAAAGGACAACGTAGTGAATGTGTTCGGGTTTGCAGGCCCCACGGTCTTCTGCTGTGACTACTTAACTCTGTTGTCGCAGGACAGAGTGGCGACAGAGAATGCATAAACAAGTGCCGATAAAATTTTATTTATGAAAATTAGGCCATGGGCTGGAGTCGGCCCACGCGCTGTAGTGTTTCTAGGCCTGCACTCGAGCGGCAGTGGGGAAAAACTCACGTGGCCTCTGTGTGAACAGGCCAAGCTGCGTAAACGCCACGGGGGAGACAGAGAGTGGTGAAGCAGCGGCCGGGGCCTGGTGAGGGTGGGTGGGGAGGTGGGAGGCATGGGCGGGCAGGAGGGCTTCCTGGAGGAGGGGCTGTCGGAGCTGAGCTGAGAGACACAAGGATTTGCTCAGGGAAGGGGGTGCGGCACCTGCAGGGCCCCGAGCCAGGAGGTGGCACGGTGTAGCAGAGGAAGCTAACGCAGGCTTGTGTGGCTGGTGCTAGGGACCTGGGGCAGGGAAAGAGGGGATGAGGCTGGGGGCAGGACATGAGGGTGGGTGGGCCACAGCAGGGATTTTGCCCTGTCTCCCTGGGTGGCCTGTCTCCCTGGGTGGCTTCCAACCATAGGGACCTGATCGGATTTCCACGTTGTGAAGATTGCTTTGGTGCAGAATGGATTGGAGGTGAGCGAGAGGAGACACGGGAAGTCAAGTGGCTCTGCCACGGGCCCAGAGCTCAGAAGTGAGTTCAGCTCTGGCAGGATAGGGTGGAGCTGAATGAAGCTGGGGTGTGGAAGAGGCCCGGCAGGGTGACACCAGGGAGAGAGAAGAGAAGCAAACCGAGGAGTTGTCAGAACTATGGTGACAATCAGGGAAGGAGGCAGCGGTGCACTGGTGAACACAGCCGAGGGGTCAAGTTCAACAACACCGAAAATGTCATCCGATACTTTACAAAGAGCAGCTTCAGGGGAGTGACTGGGCAGAAGCCGAGAGGGAGAGCTGAGGAGTGAGGCAGGGGTGAGGGGACAGGCGCACATGGCCACAGAGGACTGTGGTTGGTGATGTTGTAAACTGGGAAGCACTGGCCAGCACAGGGCAAGTGGAAGAAAGAACAGGGACTGCAGGGCTGGGTTTTTGCCTGGTGAGTGCTACAAAAATAGACCCTATGGGAGTGTAGGGAATTGGGGAAGAGTTAACAGCATGAGGGACCATGGTGGGGATGAGACCATGGTGGGGATGAAGACCATGGTGGGGATGAGACCATGGTGGGGATGAGACCATGGTGGGGATGAGACCATGGTGGGGATGAAGACCATGGTGGGGATGAGACCATGGTGGGGATGAAGACCATGGTGGGGATGAAGACCATGGTGGGGATGAAGACCATGGTGAGGTTGAAGATGGAGCCACTGGCTCAGGGAGGCTGGGAGATTGTGTAGGAAGGGCATCCCAGGCTGCGGGAGGGGTCTGTCTGGTGGGCTTGTGCCTGGTGGCGAGCAGGCCAAGTGGCAGGGAGTGTGACAGGAAGTGCCTGTGGGAGCAGCCAGGGGCCAGGCCAAGTAGGGACCTTATTCTAAGTGTGACAAGGAGCCACGGGAGGGTTTGAAATAAATCAGCCCAGATGCGGGACAGAGACTGACTGGAGAAGAGTGGAAGCCTCCAGAAAGGAGGCTGCCGTGGTGCTCCAGGTGGAGGGGGCAGCGACTGAGTTGGGAAAAGAATGAGGGTGAGTGGATGAGTTTGCAGACACCAGGTGTGGGACAACCCACAGGGATGGGAAGGATGACCCCGGGGCTTTTGGTCCCAGCACCTGGTGCCGTTTACTGCATGCAAGACAAGCAGATGGGCCCCAAATCTGCCCGGGGACCTCTGGGCCCACCGCCCCCCGCTGGCCTCTCATCCAGAGCCACCTTCTCGAGCATCTCTGTGATCCCCTTGCTCTCCAGTGGCTGTAGCCTCGTGGTTTCGGCCGAGGTGGGTTGAAAGGGCATTCCTGGCTCCAGGCCCTGGAAGGGCCACCAGTCTGCTGCCCCCACCACCTTCTAACATCTCCACATTCCCTCCTGGCAGCTGCAAGTGGGGTCCTGGGAACACAGCATAGATCCTGGGTCCCTCTGTGGTGCTGAGGCCACTTCCAGGCACCTTATCTGGGGCTCAAGTAACACGTCCCCGGTTCAGCTCCAGCCCACATTCAGTGAATGTCATCTGTGTGCCAGGCACAAGTAAATTTATGTTTTAAATTCTCACAATGGTTCTGAAGAGTAGGTATTATTTTCCACAGTTTGCATATGAAGACGTCAAGTTTTGGAAAGGGACTTGGTTGGGGTCCTCTGTCGAGTGGGGGGCAGCCCTGGGGGTCGCAGCCAGCCTTTCCCCCTGACCTGTGCTGCATCCTGCCCCACCGTGGTGAGGCTCAAGAGGGCAGGTGCTATGGGCACCAGGGACATTTGGGAGCCGGCGGAGAGCTGTCTGCAGGATGGGGGGCAGGACTGCCAAGCCTGGGGCCAGGGTAGAATGGAGCATCCAGAACACATGGTCATCCGGGCTCAATCTGGTAAATGACACCCAGAAAAAATCCACAGCTAACATCATACTTAGTGGAGAGAGATCAAAAGCTTCCACCCTAAGATCAGGGACGAGCCAAGGATTCCTACTCTCAGCACTACTGTCCAACATAAGTTCTAGCCAGGGAAATTTAGGAAGAAAAACAAATAAAAGGCATCCAGTTTGGAAAATCAGATGTAGAGCTATCTGCGTTTGCATGATTCTATATATAGAGAACCCTAAGGAATCCACATGCACACACCCACACAAACTATTAGAACTAATATGTGAGTTCAGCAATGTGGCGGGATGAAAGATCAATATAAAAATCTGTTATATGTCTATACACTAGCAATGAGCTGTGTGAAAGTGGAATTAAGAAAACAATTCCATTTACAATAGCATCAAAAAGGATAAAATACCTAGGAACAAAAGACGTGCAATGTTTGTATGTTGAGATCTATAAAAAATGTTGAAAGAAATTAAAGATCTAAATGAATGGAAAGGCATTGTAAAACTTTATATTGTTAAGATGACAGTACTCTCCGAATTGATCTACAGATTCAACATGATCCCTATCCAAATCCCAGAAACAAACAATTTGCAGAAACAAACAAGCTGGTCTTAACATTGACATGTAAATGCAAGGAGCCCAGAATAGCCAAAACAATCTTAATGAAAGAAGAACAAAGTTAGAAGACTCTTACTACCTGATTTCAAAGCTTACTACAAATCTACAGTAATCAAGACAGTGTGGTATTGACACAAGGACAGGCATATATAGATCAATTCAATAGAATTGAGAGTCCAGAAATAAACCCCCATGTTTGTGATCAGTTGATATTTTACAAGAATACTAAGACAATTCAGTGGGGGGAAGAATTGTCTTTTCAACAAATGGTATTATATCAAATGGATATCCACATACAAAAGAGACCTCTGTTTTTCTGTCTTTTGGTGTTGGGAACAATAAACACCATTAGGTTGTTGTTTGGATCAAACAGATAATGCATGGAAAGTACTCTGCACAGTGCTTGACGCACATGTGTACTACCTCAGTGATGGCCATTATTATTGTTGTTTTACCACATTGTTAACATCACGCAAAATATCTTTGAACCTAAAGGGATTATTATGAATAGTCTTTGGCTTTTGAAAGAGCGTCTCCTGGTCCTTTGGGCAGAGTATTCTGAAGTGGCCTCTGGAATGTTCACCCTGCCCTCCTCCCCTCTCGTCCCCAGCTGTCCCCTCTGCCACCATGAGGAACATCTTCAAGAGGAACCAGGAGCCCATTGTGGCTCCTGCCACCACCACGGCCACCATGCCAGTCGGGCCCGCTGACAACTCCACCGAGAGTGGGGGTGCTGGGGAGAGCCAGGAGGACATGTTTGCCAAGCTGAAGGAGAAGTTCTTCAATGAGATCAACAAGATCCCCCGTGAGTGTCCCCGGAGGCTGAGGGGGTGGGACACGGCTGGAGTCTGGGAAGGGACTTGCGAGCAGGGCAGGGTTGAGGAATCTGGGGGGTACACTATGGTGGGATTGGCTGGGCTATTTCCTAATGCTGGGATTTAAGGCTGGATTTTGTGGGAGCCCCTCCAGGAGTGCGGGAGGGGGAAGCATGGCCTGCTATTAATGTAAGGAACAAGGGGGTTTATGTGCTGCAACTTCCCAGGGGAAGAAAAGTTCTTATAACCTAAAAAACTGTCAAAAGATGAAACCAAAAGAAGAAGACAAATTATGAAATAGAAATCACCATTCAAGTTTTCCAGTAATACTTTGAAATTAACTTACCTTGGAAGCTAGAAAATAAAAACCCTCCCTGCTTTCTGAATTCCTGGCCAAGGCTGTACAGGAGACAGGAGAGATGCAGTGTAAGGGAGACGGTGCTTCAGAACCACGGAGAGCAGCCAGGGGCCCGGCCCCAAACACTGGAGTATGCAACCCCAGCTTCCGGGTCCAGACTAAACCGCAAGGACCTTGGCCTTTCTGCCTGTGGGTCAGCCCTCTCAGGACTGGGCGCACGGTGGGGCCAAGATGCTCTTCCCACACTTGGGTCTGCTGAGGGTCCCCCATCCTCTGCAGTATGAGCCAGCTCCCCACGGAGCAAACTAGTCACAGCTCAACAGAGCCAAATTCACGTCCTTCCGTGCATACACCTGAGTGCTCTCTCAACTATCAACAGCAGACTGTGCCCACGGGGTAGTAGGCTGAAAAGAGAAAAAGGCAAGGCATGAATGAAAAGGCATGCAACATATATGCAACTGACATGCAAGTCACTCGCGGGCGTGTGGTTTAAAACACGTGGAGGCCGGGAGTGGTGGCTCACGCCTGTCATCCCAGCATTTTGGGAAGCCAAAGTGGGAGGATCTTTTGAGGCTAGGAGTTTTGAGACCAGCCTGGGCAACACAGCGAGACACTGTCTCTATCAAACAATGAAAAAATTAGCCAGGCGTGGTGGCACCTGTAGTCCCAGCTACTGGGGAGGCTGAGCCCGGGAGTTGGAGGTTACAGTGAGCTATGCTCAGGCCACGGCACTCCAGCCTGGGGGAGAGACTGAGACCCCGTCTCTAAAAATAAAATAAAACAAAATAAAGTACGTGGAGCGTGGGCATGGGGAGGGGCGCAGTCCTGACCATGTTTGCCAGTGCCATGGGGCCGGGGCTGCGAGGCACGGCCCTGCTGACCCGGGCTCTTCTCTGTGTGGCAGTCCCGCCCTGGGCACTGATCGCCATCGCTGTGGTGGCTGGCCTCCTGCTCCTCACCTGCTGCTTCTGCATCTGCAAGAAGTGCTGCTGCAAGAAGAAGAAGAACAAGAAGGAGAAGGGCAAAGGCATGAAGAACGCCATGAACATGAAGGACATGAAGGGGGGCCAGGTAGGCCGGCCTGGGGGGCTGGCAGGGGCCCAGCCCAGGCTTTCCCGGCGCTCACAGGGGAAGAAAGGCCTCTGGCTCCCACGGCCAGACTGGTCCCTTCCTTAAAACTCCACAAGGGCCCTGTCGGTTACACCTCCAGTATAACGTCATCTACGCGCTGGCTAGTGGGAAGGGGGACTAGCTCCTGGGTTGGCATGAGCTCGTCCTTGGAAAGACAGAGGAGGAGAAGAATATCTGGGAGCCCAGGGAGGCTCCCACCACCACCAGGAAGACACCACTGGGCCACCCTGTGTTTTCCTGCCAGAGACCCTGCAGGACGGTGTCTCGCTGGAGGCAGCTGGCTGGGCGTGGGGTCGGGAGCCGAATGAGGCAGAAGAGTGGCTGAGGCGTCCGGACAGGGCCAGTGGAATGCATCACTGGTCATATCATAATTTCATTTATTTTCCTGTGTTTTGGTGTTGGTTAGCCTAGAAAGGCCCCTTCATACATTAATGCCAGAGTTTCTCCTTTTCCGTTTACAGAGGCCCCGTGTGCTTCCCTGTCCCCATGTTTGGGAGGGACTGGGAGAAACCTCTTGCTCAAGGAATCGCTATGGAGGGTGGAAGGAAGGGCCTGATCTCAAGAGGTCGGCTAGGGGTCAAGATGCCTGTGAGGCCGGGCGCAGTGGCTCACGCCTGTAATCCTAGAGGCCGGGGTGGGAGGACCGCTTGAGCCCAGGAGCTGGAGGCTGCTGTGAGCTAGGCTGACGCCACGGCACTCTAGCCCGGGTCACCGAGCGAGACTGTCTCAAAGACAAAACAAAACAAAACAAAATGACTTTGAGTGCTTGTGTGTGTGTGTACATGTGTGTGTACATGGGCCCAAAAGGACCTGCAGAGAGTGTGTGTATGTGTGTGTGTGTGAGCGTGTGTTTGTGTGTGTGTGTGTGTATGTGTGTGTGTGTGAGCGTGTGTTTGTGTGTGTGTGTGTGTGTGTGTGTGTGTGTGTGCTGGGAGGGGTTCCAAGAATGACACAATGTGGTCTCACCAAGCGGCCGTGGCTCACACCGTTTTCTTCCTTCTCTCTCTACCTGCGCGGACTCACCTCACTCCTGCCTGCTGGGCCGCCCTCTGGTATGTGTCACCTGGCGGAGGGTGGGGGGAGCTGAGCTGGGGACAGCACTGGGGAGGGGGCTTACAAGGGTCGCAATCCCCCACCCGGCCTTGAGACGCTGCAGCGCATTAGGCAAAGTGCCTCCCAGGGAGGAGGAGACCACGGGGCCAGAGCTGAGCCTTCCAAACACGGGGTTGGCGTGTGGGGGCTGCTGGGGGTCTGGAGGGTGTGGACCAGCAGAGTCCTCTGGGCAGGACACATTCCCTCCTGCCTCCACGCCCAGCTCCGAGTCGGGCTGGCACGCCAGCCGCTCCGTGCTCCCCTTAGACCCGCACCTCCTCTCCCTCCATGCTCCCCTTTGACCCGCACCTCCTCTCCCTCCGTGCTCCCCTTTGACCTTCGCCTCCTCTCCCTCCGTGCTCCCCTTTGACCCGCACCTCCTATCCCTCCGTGCTCCCCTTTGACCCGCACCTCCTCTCCCTCCGTGCTCCCCTTTGACCCTCGCCTCCTCTCCCTCCGTGCCCCCCTTGACCCACGCCTACTCTCCCTCCGTGCTCCCCTTAACTCACACCTCCTCTCCCTCCGTGCTCCCCCTTGACCCGTGCCTCCTCCCGCAGCTCCGCAGGATGACGACGACGCGGAGACAGGCCTGACGGAGGGGGAAGGCGAAGGGGAGGAGGAGAAGGAGCCGGAGAACCTGGGCAAGCTGCAGTTCTCCCTGGACTACGATTTCCAGGCGAACCAGGTGTGTGGGGGGGTTGGGCGGAGTGGGCGGGGAGGAGGTGGGACGTGGGGGGGAGGGGGGACAGCCCTCTCGGGGAGGGGCGGGCCCTGCTCCTCTCCGTGGAGCGAGGCTGGCTGGACCCTGCAGGGCATAGAGCCTGGACACCAGCCCTGGCGTGGCCAGCAGCCTGCTCTGGGGAAGCTTCCAGGTCGATCACGCTATTAACCTGCCCGCCGGCCTTGGGCAAATCACCTGTCCTTTCCCCTCAGCTTCCCCAGATGTCGTTCCAGATTCCCTGGGATGGAGATGGCAGCCAACCCTCCTCCCTGGCACCAGCCTGCCCCCCATTCCCCAACTGCCACTGGGGAAGGGACTGGTGGAGCGGGAAGGGACTGGTGGGAGCGGGCTCTGGGGCCAGGGCTGGCGTGGGAGCCGGCCCGAGACTCAGGCCCCCTCTCTCTCCCCGCAGCTCACCGTGGGCGTTCTGCAGGCTGCCGAGCTGCCCGCCCTGGACATGGGGGGCACCTCAGACCCTTACGTCAAAGTCTTCCTCCTTCCCGACAAGAAGAAGAAATATGAGACCAAAGTCCACCGGAAGACGCTGAACCCTGCCTTCAATGAAACCTTCACCTTCAAGGTGATGAGGGCCGGAAGGATGCCTCCAGCTCCTCCCCGTCCCAATTCTCCCCTGACCTCTCAGACTTTTCCTTGGTCCTTAGCACGGCCCCGTCTGGAGCAGTGGCAGGCTGGGCTCCCGGCCTGTGCGGGAGGGACCCTCCCACCCTGCCCCTGCACTCTGCTCCCCCACACTTACCAGGAGCCCCTGGGCTGGCTGGAATGGAGACCCAGGCCCAGGGGCCTGCCCACAGCGTCCCCTGGAGGTGTGTGGGCCACACTGGCCCCTTCTGATCCCGCTTGTGTCCCCCAGGTGCCGTACCAGGAGCTGGGGGGCAAGACTCTGGTGATGGCCATCTACGACTTCGACCGCTTCTCCAAGCACGACATCATCGGGGAGGTCAAGGTGCCCATGAACACGGTGGACCTCGGCCAGCCCATCGAGGAGTGGAGGGACCTGCAGGGCGGCGAGAAGGAGGAGGTGAGCGCAGAGACCAGCCAGGCCACGCAGGACTGCGAACGTGGCCGCGTGCCTGGGCTTCCCCCTTCTGCCATGACAGAAAGAGGGTGGGCTTGGCAGCCAGGCGACCTGGGTTAGGGTCCCAGCTCCACACCGCCCAGCTGTGTGACCCTGGCCGAGTTGCTGCAACTCCTTGGACCCGGGTCTTTCCTTTAGTCTCTTTTTAGAGATGAGGATGAACTGTCTACACAAAGCGCCTAGCACGGGGTCTGGTCCTGGGTGGGTACTCAGATAGACGAGAACTCCATTATCATCCTTACTCCTGAGGTTTTGCTATCACTTTCGGCCAGGGATTCACGACTCCGTGCCTCAGTTTACCCACAAGGAAAGCTCATGTTTGTTCTAAAGGACACTCGGCATGGGGGGTATGTCCTCTCAGCCACTGGGATAGCATTCATTCACTCGCCAAACTGTATTCCAGGAACTCCACTCTCCCCACTCCTCCCTCCCGGCATCAGTCATTGTCCCGGCTGGGCCCCGGCTGTCACCAGAGCTGGGCAGTGACGGAGGGAAGAGTAGGGAAGCTTAGGACATCCTTTCGTGCCTTGGGGCTCGCAGTGTGTCCGGGAGGAAGGCCGGCGCACCTGGACCAGGACGTGTGTGGCGTGCTCAGTCTCGGCCAGGTGGCCCTGGCTCTGAAAGCTTTGCCTCTGCAGCGAGGTGTGGGCAGAGACCTTAGGACCGGGAGCCCCGGGTCCTCCTCACCCTGCTAGCCATGCTAAATTGTGTGACTTTGAGCAGAGCTCCGTGAACCCCGGTCTCTCACTGGTCACGAAGGACCCTCGCCTGGTCCACACGAGAGCGTTGCAGCGGCAGTAGCAAAAGGAAAGAGTCCCACAGATGACACTACAAGCGAATGACCCACGGGGAGAGGCCTCAGTGGGCGGGAGGGGCCGGGGGAGGACGGCTTCCCAGACACTCGGCGTCCCGGGGCCCTTGGAACTGAGCACGTGGCTGCCACACCCACTCCTCACGCCCTTCCCCGCCTGACAGGGCCTGGGCTGGGAGCCCAGACACTGCCCCATCTGCCCGCTCCGCCCAGGAGTCCCTCCTTGCTCCTGCCACCATTGCCCATTCTCTGCCACTCACCTGTCAGCGTCCTCAGCCCAGGGCTGCCACGCTGCCGGGCGGTCACTCTTGGGGGCCTTCTGGGCTGCCTCGGGAGGCCCTGAGGTTGGACTCAGACTTAGCACCCCAGCCATCGCAGATGCGGGGACTGGTGACCGAGGGAGGGGGGACAAACCACTGCCTTGCCAGTCTCGGCCAGATGGGGGTCGCCACGCAGGAGGCAGTGGGAGGGCTGGCAGGACCTGAGTCCTGCTTTTCCCCCACCCCGGACAGCCAGAGAAGCTGGGCGACATCTGCACCTCCCTGCGCTACGTGCCCACGGCCGGGAAGCTCACTGTCTGCATCCTGGAGGCCAAGAACCTCAAGAAGATGGACGTGGGTGGCCTTTCAGGTACATGCAGAACCTCTGGCTGCCATTGGGTGGCACCAGCGAGCCAGTCACCACCCGGAGCCCCCGGAGTTTGCACACTGCAGTGACCCAGACGTCTTCTCACCGAACAGGGGAGCCCTGGCTTTCCGTCCCCCCACTTTCTCCCAGTGACCCCGGTCCCCAGTCGGAGCTGCCTTCCCGGTGCTCTCTGGCCATGCCCCGTGGGCCATGGAGGAAAGGATTAGAGAAATGTGATTCCCCAGATGAGTTCGTAATTTAGGGTTTTATTAACACTTCTCCCAGGGAAGTGCAGGGAGTGGGCAGGGCTTAGCCCAAAGCATGCCCCCACCATCGGGGACAGTTTTCCAGGAGAGGCTCTAGGCTCTGCTGGCTCTGCCCTGGAAAGGGACTCGGGGGATGCTCTGAGTGTCGTATTTACCTGATGGTGGATGGGGCTGGACCAGGTGGGGTCCTGGGGGGTGGAGCCCTCTGCCTCCGCCTTGCCCTGGGCTCGGGCTCTAACCAGCATGTCTCCGTGCCAGCCCTGGCTCTGTCACTGACCCACTGCGTGACCTTGAGCAGGGCATTTCCCTTTTTTGGCCTCAGTTTCTCACCTGCAAGTTCAGGAGGACTGGATTAGGTCAGGATCGTGACGCGGCAGATGTATGTCCCGCTTTGGGACTCTCGGCCCCTGTCTGGCACAGGATCACCAGTGGGTCCCCACACTCCTTCTCACAAGGCCTGTTTACACTCAGAAGTGTCCCCAACACAGTGCTCCAGGAAGCCACGGCCAACCGATCAGAGGTGGTCCTGGGGGTGAGGCCTTTTTGTCACCCTTGCACTGGATGATTATCTGTGTCCTTTGGGCTTCTTGTCCTCTGACTCAGAGCTTTCTGGGACCTGTTCTCAGCAGGGTGGAGCCCCTTCTCGGCAGAAGCTCTGGGCAGGCCCCGCTGCATCCAGTGGGCGGGCGGGGGCTAAGGGACCTCCCTGGGGTTGGCGTTCTCCCTCTGCAGACCCCTACGTGAAGATCCACCTGATGCAGAACGGCAAGAGGCTCAAGAAGAAGAAGACGACAGTGAAGAAGAAGACCCTGAACCCGTACTTCAACGAGTCCTTCAGCTTCGAGATCCCCTTCGAGCAGATTCAGGTGCTCGAGCCCTTCGGGTCCTGGCGGGGAGGGGGTGTGGGGAGGAGAGGGAGCTCACCTGAAGGCCACGACACAGACCTGCTCAGGGTGGGGGGCTCCTCCCCAGGGCATCCTTCCAGAGGGCTCCCCTTTTCCAAGGAGATGAACATGAACTAATTAAAAAAACATTCTACAAATCCTTCTTTTAGGACTTTGAGGAACATGGTAGCGTACCTGGGCGTGGGGGGCGCAGCACAGGGACCAGCGAGGTTGAGAGCTGGTCGGGGGGCTGGAGTGAACCCCTCCCCAGTCCCAGCCGCATACTGCCTTGGCCATCCCGGGCCCCATTCCTACTGCTCCCTAGCTCTCTCCCGTCCACACCTCTGACCCTCTTCCTCCCGCCCTTCCCTCCATCCCTCTAGCCTTTTCTGCTCTTCCTTCCCTTCCTTCCCACCAGCAAGTGCTGGAAATGTGGGGGATGAGGTCTGCTTTCCACCACTTCTGGGTATGGTGGGATCTGGACTTGGTGGGACAGGAGACCCCCCACCCATGTGGGCAGGAGGTCGGTGCAGCCAGGGGCTTGCAGAGCGGTGGTTCTCTGGAGTCGTGGTCTCTCTTCTATCTTAGTGAGCTGATCCCTCCTCTTCTCCACCCCCCCCAGGAGGGCTGGGGGGTGCGCCAAGAGTGCAAAGGGACCTTCAGAGTTGGTTCTGTCATCTATGGAGATGGCATCTATGGAATTCTTCAAGGGAACATCGGGCAGCTCAGCGATCACGTTAGTGCAAAGGAGTCCTCCTTATGGAGAACTCAGGCAGATGTAAAGGACACTGGCCTGGGCATCTCACATTCAACACGCCTAAACTCAACCCTTCCTACCCTCTCCCAGCCAAGCCGGCTTCGTCTAAATTCTGTTTTCAATAAATGGCCCCGCCATCTGCCCAGCGGCCCAGCTCAGAAACCTGGCCATCGCCTTCGCCACTCACCCCAACTTTCTCCTTTCCAATTTATCCAACACACTTTGCCGGGCATTTCCTTAGTTCCAGGCACTTGCTAGGGGCCGGGGAAGTGAGTGAGTAGAAGACACAGCCCTTGCTGTCAGGGACCTCACAGCAGGAGGGGACCAGGAAACAGGCCGTTAAAGCACAGGGACATGACAGCTGCAATGTGCAGAGAACTGTGGGCAATTCCGCTGAGGCTTCCCAGGGAAAGCTTCCTCCTAAAGGATGAGTCCGAGTTGGCTGGGGTCACATGGGAGAAAGGAATTGGCTGTCCCCTCAATGAATCCACGGATCGTCAGGTCCTCTTGATTTTCTTCCCTAAATACCTCCAGTTTGGCCTTGACTTCCCATCCCACTGCCACTGCCTGGATTCAGGGATCCAGTACCCTCCCTCCCAGACCCCCGTAGCCCCCAGCTGGTCTCCCCTCTGCCATCAGCCCGCCCCTCCTCCAGTGAGTCTCCCGCCCCAGTGCCAGGGCTCTCTCCCTAAGACACCCACGCCACTGCTCTCTAAGGTCTTCAGGAGTCCCACGATGCCTAAAGGACGAACACAAACTCCTTAGCTGACTCCTACCGGGCCTGCAACTCTTTTCTTGCCAGTGACTCTGAACTTCCAATGTTTCTAAGACATCAAACACACTCTCCACCCAGGCTAATCCTTTCCCCTCTTTTTCCCCTCTGAGAGAAATCTTCAGGTGTCATGTCCCAGTCGCTTCCTCTGTGATGCTTTTCCTGGCTGAGCTGAGCAGGACTGTCCTCCCCTCTGAGTTTCTTTTCTTTCTTTTTTTTTTTTTTTGAGACAGAGTCTCACTTTGTTGCCCGGGCTAGAGTGAGTGCCGTGGCGTCAGCCTAGTTCACAGCAACCTCAAACTCCTGGGGTCAAGCGATCCTCCTGCCTCGGCCTCCCCGAGTAGCTGGGACTACAGGCATGCGCCACCATGCCCGGCTCACTTTTTCTATATATATTTTTAGTTGGTCATTTAATTTCTTTCTATTATAGTAGAGACAGGGTCTCGCTCAGGCTGGTTTCAAACTCCTGACCTCGAGCGATCCACCCGCCTTGGCCTCCCAGAGTGCTAGGATTACAGGCGCGAGCCACCGCGCCCGGCCTCTGAGTTATTTCCATAGTACCTCGTGCGGTCCTCTGTAGCACAACCTCTACACTCTGTGTTGTTAAGTTTCTATTGTGTCTGCTGATCTCATCAGAGGTGAAATTCATCTTTTCCTTCTTCCTCTCTGACAAGTGTTTGACACAGTGCCCAGAGCACTTACATGCTCAATAAACGCCTGGTGGCAGAAACACGTTGCCTCCAAAAGGTGTGACCTCTGCCCCCGGGTACATTCAGTCTTATTTGGAGCCAGAGGTGGGAGCAAGGAGCCCTGGGCGGCTTTCCTTCCCAGCCATCTGGAGAACAGGCTGGCGGAGGGGAAGCACCTGGTCACGGGATCCAACGTCCTTGCCTGCCAACTCCCCCCTCCTTTGCTTTTCTCGCAGAAAGTCCAGGTGGTGGTCACCGTGCTGGACTACGACAAGCTGGGCAAGAACGAAGCCATAGGCAAGATCTTCGTGGGCAGCAACGCCACGGGCACAGAGCTGCGGCACTGGTCCGACATGCTGGCCAACCCCCGGAGGCCCATCGCCCAGTGGCACTCGCTGAAGCCCGAGGAGGAGGTGGACGCACTTCTGGGCAAGAACAAGTAGGCGGCAGCGGCCGGGACCCCGCGCCCTCCACGGACACTGACGAGATCCAGAGCTATCAATACCTCAGTTACGCGACCTTAGAGGTTTTTTCCATTTGTTTGTGGTTATGTCCTTGTTTCTCCTTCTTTTTCTCTTTTTAAAGACCAACTGCCCTTGTGATGGCTGTGTGAGGACAGTCCTCTAGGAGATGAAAGAGGAGCCTGGCTCTGCTCGTGGTCCCAGGAGCTGCCCTAGCTGCATGCCCTGTCATGGCCCCCCTCCTCACTCTTGCAGAGCTTCACTTAAGCCTCGTCCTGAGAGAGGCCCTCTACTGGCAGAAAGTTGCAGCACTTCCTGTTTTTCCAGCGTTCTGGACCAACAAAATGGCGGCACATCCTGTTTGCTGACAGGGAAGGCAACACAGTGGCTAATGATCCGTGTGCGTGTGTGTGTGTGTGTGTGTGTGTGTGTGTGTGTGTGTGTTTGAGCATCTCTCTTCATTCCTGGAATGAGCCTTAGACAGTGGCGCTGTGTGGGAAAAGAAGGCTCTTCGGGAGCCCTGAAATGAAGAAAGTGCACGAAGTGGGAGATCTTCCCTCAGCTTGCGGAGAAGTCTCAAAATCCTGGTCAGATGCCAGAAGCTCCCATACTGCTTGCGGGTGGCTACTTGGGAGGCAGCAAGATGTGGAGACTGGATGTGTCCAAACCTGGACCAAACCCCTGATGCCATCATAGACTTCCTCCTGTCCATCATGGCTTCTCCATTAGTATGGTTTCTGGGACATCCATGGAAATGAACTATTCACCAGATTGGTCAGACTCTAACAGGGACTGTCAGTCCCAGGTTCTCACTCTTGTTGACAATGAATATCACACTATGAAGAAACAGAAGTCCCATTACCCAGACAGACCAAAATTAAACCCCTGGATCTTCACTCCATCCAGTGGGAAGCACGGATGCTTTCTCCCTGTCCAGAATATACGCAGCGCAGTTCATTTGCATTTATTCCCCATTGTGCTTTTGCTTCTGTTTCTCTTTTAATTTAAGTGGAGCAACACTCAGTGAAGACACGTTATCTGTACAGAGCCAGAGAACTTTAAAAGGAAGGTTTAAATGTTCTCAGTTCCCCTGAGGTCCAGGTAAGAGAGGGATGGTAAGAAGGGGAGCATGGGGGACAGATGGCAGAGATTTCCTGGGAGGAGATAGAGGGGAGCGCTAGGATTCCCCCCAACTCCCACTCCCTGGACCCTCTGCCCTCCATGCTGGAGAGCTTTTACGTGGCTGGAGTGGCCCAGGGAAGGCTGTAGGGGCGGCCCGTCCTACCCTTCATCAGGGAGGCTTCTCTATCTGAATGCCGGGAAACCAAGGCCATCCATTCCCGACGGGTGGTGGAGGAGATCTGCCAGCATGTCTACCCCGTGCTCCGCTGTGTCCCATTCCCTACTTACCTTTTGTCCCCAGCATAGATAAAAGCCATATATATGTTAGTCAAGTTTGCACTGAGTCTTCTTCCAAACCTTCAGCCTGGATAAGAGAGTCAGGTCCCCATGTGGCCAGAGGCCAGCCTTCCTTGCCTCCCTTCCTTTGGCTCTTCCCTTCCATCTGTGCAGCCCTCAGGCCCTTGCCATTCTTCCCCTCAGAAAACTCATGGCTTCCCCAGGATCCTGGGGCTCGCTCCTCCCTAGCACAAATGGCAGCGCTTCCTGTCCTGCTCCATCTGGGCTACATCAGCTTCTTGTAGGCACCTGAGACACATGGCCGGTGTTGGAGAGAATCAGGCTTGGAGGACTCAGCATGAAGAAGGTGCAGAGTGTCTTTTTATTTTCTCTTAAAGAAAGGGAAGGAGTTTTTGTTTTTCCTTTTTTTGGTTGAAGTAAGGAGTGAAGGAACACCTCTACCAGAAACTGACTGGGAAGTAGGGCTCAGCCTGTCTCTCAGAGACCCTTCTCTGTCTTTCTAGTGGTATATGGGAAGTTATATTTTTACCAGACTCTGTGTGTATATGTGTGTGTGTGGACGTGTAGACACGTGTACTTAACGATGGGAAGGTAGGACTCCCATGAGGATTATGAGCTGTGGTCCTTGGGACCAGAGTTGTAGTCACAGTAGAGAGTTGTAGGACAGTAGGGTGCCTTCAGAATCTGGGTGGCCACAGAGTAGGATTTCAGAAGTCACTGGACTCTTCTCCCATCCCCAGAGCTGTGGGATTTTGGTGCTTTCTCAGGGTCTCTTCCCACACTCGTTCTCCTCACCCATATCCTCCAGACCCCATTCATGGAAAATTCCCGTCAGTCTCACCCCTCTGCCTTCATTCTCATGCCCTTTCCCAACCCATCTTCTACCACCGGCAGAGTCTTCTCTGCCCGTGAACCTCATTCAGCCCTTCCAGAGCCCAAGAGTTGCCACGTCCCTGACATGGAAGGAGAGGAAATGGTAGGCACCCCTGATGGTTTGGGTGTCCATGTGCTGGAGGGAGGGGCCGATTTCATCACTCTGAGCCCACTTCTAGTGAGCAGCCTTGAGGGTGGGGACAGGTTGCTGAGTGACCTCGAGCCTTGGCATGAGTGTGGAGCCAGTGTGGGTGTGGGGGGCAGTACCTTCCCAGGTCCCTGCTGGCCCTGATGAGCCACTCTGGCAGATGGCATCTGTCTGGGGCCATGGGCTAGACTTGCTCATGCTTGTAAGTTTTCTACACTCAACGGCTGATGTTACCCAAACCCCAGAGCTTCATTCCAATCTCTGGCTGCCGTTCAGATTTGTTTCTGGGGATGGTAGTGTACTGGGACGCAGGCGCTCAGCAGGATAGGGTTAGGGTGTCTGGCTAGTGAGGGGTTCTGGATGCCTCTAGGGCTCTGAGTTTTCATCCCAAAGTCTGTTCCTGAGAGAGGAAAGGAGTATACAGGTGACTTTTCACAGAGGGGCTGAGACCATGAAAACCCAAACCCAATTCCTTGCAGAAACAGGGGTGAGGCATAGAAGCTCTGTTTCTTCTTCCTTCCTGAACAATCATTCCAGAAGGGAAACTAAGTCTCCCAGAATGACAGGCACAGTTTTGGACTTTGGAAACTGAGGCATGGAGAAGGCTGGGTAAAAAGCAGGTGGGCAGCCCCAGACAGCGAGCAGGTGCTGGGCAGGACTGAGAAGTGACTTTCCTGGAGTCCCTCAGCTGGAGGACGGGACAGCAGGGATGAGGCCACAGTGTCAGGTCCTGATCTTTTTTCTTCCCAGGAAACGATGTGTAGCTTATCTCTGCAGAACCACTTTGGCACGATGAGAGAGAAGAGGGGTCGCTGCAGCCCTCCTGCAGGCAGCCCCAGCCCCCCTACAGACCTGCCTCCATACAGCAGGGTGGGGTGGGCGGGTGATAGCAGAGAGGTGGACAAACCTCCCTTGGGGTCAGGGAGTGAGAGACCCTATGTTCCTTCAATGTCCCAGACTAATTCTTGAGGCATCTGAGTCCTGGGTCTCACCCAACCTTATAAAAAGAGAGCCTGTCCCTGAGGGTGTGCCTCCCCCTCCAAGACAGGACGTAACTGAGCCAGGAACTGCCCCTGTATCCTCTGCCCTCCCCCTTCCCTGCGCTCCCCTTCCCCTTTGTCACCTAAGGCTGGTCGAGGCCCTTTCTCGGAGCCTCGGGTGGTGGCAGGCAGGGAGGAATCCCAAGTCCTGATCTTGGCAGCCCGGAGCCCCATGACACAGTTACCAGATTTGGTGACTAAAAACACAGGGTGGCCAGTTACATTGGAATTTCAGACAAACAAGAAATAATTTTTAAGAATAAGTATGTCCAGGCTATATCTGGGACACACTACACTCAAAAGTGATTTGTTGTTTATCTGAAATTCCAGTGGCACTGGCCATCCTGTATTATGTCTGCCCTGTGACCACTTCCCCCCTCCCTCCTTGGTCCCAGGGGGCCAGAGGCTGGCCACCAAGGATTTGTTTGACTTAACCTGTTTTTCGAACTGCAATATTGAGAAGGGGTCACTGTGACTTGAAGACACATGAATATACTTTATTTTTTAAGCAACAACAAAACAGGAACCTTCCGAAGCCATTTGAGCCTCATCTGCCCGTCCACTCGCGTTTAGTTATATATAAGATAGTTATCTACAAACATATGACCGGAATCTTGTTGAATCAAGATGCATGTCTATAACTTCCTGTAAATAGCCGCATGGCAATGCTGAGAGTCCCTCGATCCCCAACCCAAACCCACTTTACAGAGCTGGGTGAGGCTGCTCGTTTGATTTTATGTTGTGTAAAGTCTTTGTCCCCCAGTCCCCCCCCGTCCCCCCCAGTCAGGAACCTCCCACGGGAGCCTTCAGCGGGCTGGGGTTGGGCCCGGCTCTGGTGCCAGCCCTGCGTGGGAGCGTCCTGAAGGCTCGCTGCAGCACCTGTCTGCAGAGCCAGCCCCCGGCACGGCAGTGTCCAGCCTGCTGTCTGGCGTCCCAGCGGCTTCCATGTCCTACCTATGTGTGTGGCGTGCCCCTCCCCCCACTGTCTGAACTAACTGAAAAGCCATAAAGGGGCTTCCTGCTGGGGACCGCCCTCAGCTCCTTCCAGGGGGGCCCTCATGTCCCTCCGCGGGCTCCCCACAGAACACTTGCGAAGGGCTCACCTGCCGTCACCTCCTCCTGCCCCTCAGCCCTGTGTCATGGGTGGCGTCCAGGGCTTCCGGTGGGGCCCAGGACACACTCCCGCTGGCCCAGCCAGAGCTGGCGTCCTCGGCTCCATCTACACCGGGGTGTGGACAGGGTGGTGGGGGCACTCCAGAGTTTGGATGCCTTTCCGGGGGTCCCTGCGGAGGCAACCGGGATTTTCAGGAGCAGCCAGTCGGCAGTTCAGCCCGTGGCCAGGTTCCCATCTGTCACCCGGGGTTGATGGAACAAGCCCCGCTTACTTACCACGGCGGCGCCAGGGTCCGTGGATGGCACGGAGGAGGATGCCTGGGGACAATGCAGGGGCCAAGCTCTTGCTCACGCTGCTCCTGCGGTCTGGCAGGCGGTACCCCCAGCCAGGGCTCCTCCGAGAGCGCTGGGCAGGTCTGGTTGTGCGGGAGGCTCAGACGAGACCCTTGTGCAGAGCAGGTTCGTGCCAAGCGCCCCGACCCTCACTTCTGCTCCTCCCCGGAGCAGCTCCAGCCAGCGGTGCTGAGCAGCAGAGAGGTGTGCTGGGGGGACTGGGGGCTTCCAAGGTCCCAGGTCATCATGTTGAACGGAGTGGGACGGGTGGCCCCCAGCCTGCAGGCCCAGACCCGCAGCATCTGGCAAGGGCAGTGACACATGAGTAGCCCAGGAGGCCCCAGGCCCGGCCACCGTGGCGAGCGGGAGGAAGGAGAGAGACAAGGTGGCGAGGGGAACCAGGCATGGGTATTAGGCCAGTGGTGGCGAGGTGGGCTCTGCCCTCACACACCGGGACTTGCGAGCACACAGAGGTCCTGGGGCTTTTGTGCTGGGGACAGGAAAGAGTGGGGGAAGTGGAGAGGACCATTTCAGAGCAAGCTGGGACCAGGCGCGTGGATGAGCGCAGGGAGGAGCTGTCCTGCTCTCTCTGGGGCCTCCCGCCCTCCACACCCACGGCGAGTCAGGGATCGAGGCAGGAGTTGAGGCAGAGTCCACCTGGCGAGGGAGCAGCGGGTGTGGGCCCCGGGAGTCCCCCGTCCCGCCCCTCTCAGCAATCAGGACTTTAGGGGGGCCCTCTTCCAAGATGCCTGACCCTTCTGCCCTGACTCCTGCCCATCTAAGGACTTGATTTGCTGCTTTCTGAGAGCGCCGTGGCAGAGCCCGGCCTGGCCCAGGTCACCCGCCAGGAGCCCTGCCTCCGTCTCCATGGGAAGGACACACGCACAGCCCTCGCCTCCCCCCGCTTGGCGATGCTCCCCACCCCCTTATGTGGACTCTGTTGTTCTTGTCTGATCTCTTGTCAAATTGTTATTTTGTAATGAGCTGCGTCTCCTTATTAAAGAAATGAGCTAAAAGAAACCCGGGGGTGGGGGGTGTCTCGGTTGTTTTGCTGGGCTGCGGTTCGCGGGCAGAATGCGGGTCAGCGTGGCGGGTAAGGGCGGTGAGACAGCTGCGAGGCTCCGCCTCTAGCCCAGATCTCCCTTCAAGGAAGCAGCAAAGGGGCTGAGGCCCCTTCTCTTCCCGGGGACGGGGGCAGACCGGACGGGCACTCCCGGGGTGGGTGGTGGGGCCCACGCATCTCCTGATTAGGGACACGGGCCAGTGCCCAGAGGGCTCAGGGGAGCTGGGGACATTCTCTGGGAGAAGGCTGGGGGCGAATGACATGCTTGAACTCCCTTTCCATTGGGCTGGGTTTAGAAAACAGCCACAGTCTGAGCCCAATGAGGAGGCTGGCCCCAGAGTATGGGAGCTTGAAAAGTGAGAATTTCTACCAAGTCCTCAGTTGCCCCACTGCAATGACCTTCAGATGTCTTTGACTTCTGAAGCAAAGATGTTAGGGACTAAGGATGGGGCTTTAAAATTTCTAGGGGAGAATAGGGCAGCATCGCCCTCAAGACCAGGAAAGTATTACATTCCTTCCTCTGGTCCCACCTCAACCTGCCTCCTCACTTGGAAGACAGCCAGCCCCTGCCACTTGTCAGGTTACACTACACACTTGTCCTCTGGGAACACCACTGGCTAGACTTGTGCTTGTCCATCAGGTCCAAAGCCGTGAGGGGCAGGGGAGGCAAGGCAGGGACAGGACTGTCCTGGTGCACGAGTGAGGGAGCAAGAGCCCAGATCCTTTAATCTGTTCTGTCCGGCAGTGTCAGTCCCTGACGCAGGGTGGGCTGGTGTCTGGTGAGGTGAAGGGCACGAGCTTCAGCACAAGGACTGAGAACAAGAGCGCCCCTGTGCTGGACCACAGGATGACCAGTGACAGTCTCTGCAGACCTCACTGCATGCAGGTGGGGACAGAGAAGCAGAGATGACATTTGCAGTCCAGGAGCCCCTTGCATCAGACATGCTTCTTTTGCCTGATTCAGGCCCCAGGACAGGTCTGAATTCTTCAGGCATGACATCATGTGTGTTTGCTCTGCTGCTGCTTGGGCTACAAACAACTGGGTGACAGCAGGGGAAAAGAATCTTCCCTCCCTGACCTCCCTCCAAGTCAGTGACCAGGGATTTCCACTTGGCAGAAGACATGGGGCCGAGCAGAGCCAGAGGCGGGGCTTGCTGGACAGAGAAACCAGACCCGAACCTTGCCTGCCCCAGGTCAGACCTGGCCACCTACTGGCACACCCTGCCGGCAGGCCCCAGCAGCTCCTTCCTGGGCACGGCTCCTTCGTTTTGAGTTCGGATATACAACCTCCAATAACCCCGAAGTTAGCTACGTTTGTAGCTCAGAACTATAGAATGGTTTTGGATCTCCTAAGTCAAACAATGACCTAATGAAGACCATTATGTTCATAGCAGAGGACCAAAGGTGAAGCTAGGAGACTCCCATGAGCCCAAGAAAGTCATCACCCCTCTGAACGCTAACTTCCCATGTAGCACAGTGTGCTAGTGTTCATCCAGATGGGCCCAACACCCTTGTCACTTAGCCCTGCCCTCTTCAGAGAAGTAGCCCTACTCTTAGTCACTTGAAACTTGATTTCTTCTTGTGGTTCTTTTGGATTTTCCTTGGACTGACTCCTTAATGCCTTAATGTTCCCAAAGACCCTGATTTCAGTGATGGGGACTCACCTGTGGCCGTCCCTGGGGGAGAAACCCCTAAGTGGACAGGAGCTACAGGAAGCTGGTGAGGCCCCCAAATAGTAGAGATGACATAAAATTGGAAGACACTGCCCCAGATGTGAGATTCTATAAATCCCATTTCCTGAACCATGGAGACCTGGTCACAAAGTTAAAACACGGTTTTATTTACTCATTTATAAATACTGTTGTGTTTACAGGCATCATATAGATGTGAATATTATTATTATTCCCAAACTTTCAAACACAGAATACTTAATACTATATAATAACAACCAGTAAAACAAGATCATTCATCTTAGGGTTGAAAGGCCACTCAAAATTGCATAAAAAATACATTCAGTTCACAAAGCGAGTCTGGCTTCCCCTCCCCCACGCCCCACCCTGCCCAGGTGTATTTACAGTGGACTAAAGTTAATCCGCACAACTCAGCTGGGAAGTGACATCCGGTGCTTTAACTGTGGGGGAACAGGTGAGGAGTGGAGGGTGGAGTGAGTAAAGACGCAAAACGCTGCCACTAAAATGGGAGAGGCGTGGAGACACCGGGGTGGTTCCTCGTAAGCTCTTTCCATGCCTGTCGGATCAAGGGCAGGGCAGGGCAGGGGCAGGGAGGGAGGGAGGAAAACCATAAAGCCCAAGTCCGAGTCTGACGCAGTCAACTGAACACAGGCCGCATCTTCTCCAAGAGGGGTGTGAGGGTGGAACGTGTTCCCTTCCTCTTCCGGGAAACGATGGCCCACTCGGGATGCCGGCCAGGTGGTAGGCCAAACCTTCCCAGGGTTCGAGGGATGCTCGCTAGAAAAGGGGATTTCGGGATTGCTGCATCCCCCCAGAACCTTCTACCCCTGCAGCCTGCCTCCCGGTGTCCTTTTTCCTCCAACCTCTCTCTACCTGGCCTCTCTTCACCAGACGACAAGCTGGGGTATGCTCCAGGTTTCAGTAGAGTGGGGGGGAGAGCAGGTGAGGGCAGAGATACTTAGGGGTCGAGCTAGCGCTGGCCCCAGCGTGTCCCTTGTTCACTCTGATCCCTGACTCTGGTTTGGGAGGCATTAGAGGCTCTCAGAGGCTCCCCACAGTCAGCATGCCCTTCCTGAGTCCGCTTTCCTGCGAGGCGGGGGGGCTGCGCCGGCACTGCTCAGGTGACCAGGTCTGTGCCGCTTCTGTCTGAAGCAATAAACAATGTCAGGACAAAGGTGGAGTAAAGCAGACGCCGCTACCCACGGCTTCCTGGGCTAGGGCTTCCTGGGCTAGGCCGCAGAGGGGCCATGCAGGGCTGTAAGTCACACCTCCTCTCTGTAGGGCTATTAGTACTTCCAGGGAACCTTGAAACTGAAGGGGCGGTGGCGGTGGTGTATAAAACTCCTCCAGGAATCTTGGCTGGATCATGGAAAACCTCCTCTCTAAAGCACCCTTAACTCCAAGTGAGAAAAGCAAGGAATAATGAGTGTGGAGGGAGATGGCAGGGAGAGGAAGGGTAAAGGGTATGTTTATTTTGGAAGGACATAAGAGCATCCTGATGTCACCTTATTGGGCCACCCAAGTAAAACGGTATTGGAAACATTAGGGGAAAATTTGGAAGAGACATAACAGAAAATATCATTCTGGCAGATTCACAGTCCCAAATGATAAGTGGATGAATTGGGGAATGGCTCAGAGAGGTCCTTTGGGGGATCGGAAGGGAGGGAGAAAAGCCAAAAGATATGATTTAATAGAAAAATACACTGGATAAAATTGGTTTCTGAGTTCTCATTTCTAGTCAAGAATATGCCAGACCTCATTTTGAAAGCTCCCGGCTAGCAAATGTGCATAAGCTAGTAGCACGAGTCATCGCTGAATTGTTAAACCTTTTTAGGTAAGGCCAGAATATTCATTAATAGTGCTGCCCTCAGACACACCCACCTCTTATTTACAGTTCTTCTCTGGGATCCTGGGCAGGCAAGCCACACCTAGGTTCAGTATTGACTGTTACCCACAACTCCCAAAGGAGAAGTGAATGCATCTTCTTTACCTTGCAGCTGCTCGCTGGCTGCTCAAGAGGCCCTATTTGTTTTCTCTTAGCCCTCAGGGACCACCTCGTTCCCTACCAGCTGTGACAATGACAGTTCCTGGACTGCAATGAAGTTGATCTATTTTCCAATCTAATCAGAACACAAGAGATCAATGGCTATCCCTGATAGGGTCTACTGCTCTGAACAGTGTCAATACCCATTAGGAAGCTGATTACAATCTCGGCTCAGCTGGAGGCAGAACTCATCTCCCTGCGCCAAAGCTTTGCTTCTGCAAAACTCCCCTCCGCCCAGCGCTTGCAGCCTCCATCCTGCTCTACGTCCAAAGCCCCCAACCTTCTGCCTCCTTCCGCCACAGCACGCAGGCCACCCCTACTTCCAGGGCCTCTGCCCTTTCACTCCACTCACACCAGTCCTGCAGGGGTCTTGTGAGAGTGGAGTGCTGGTCGATGCCGTGGCTGCTGGACTCCGGGTTTGTCAGCGCGCACTGCTTTGGTGGTCTCCTCTGCAGACTGGCTTTGGAGGAAAGACCATCTTGAACAGCACCGGAGCCTCTTACTTCTAATAGCCCAGAATCTAGAGAGGAGGAGCTCAATGGAACTAAAGACCGAGGTTTTTATTGAGGAAAATTCTCATACTGCAGAGTTTAAGACTGAGCCAGCTAGAGCTAAGCAGAAATGCAGTTAGTCTGCTGTTTGGGTGTGAAGAGCCAATGCAGATCACATTTGAGAAAGCTGAAGAAAAGTGAAGAAACCTATGAAGCAGCAGCTCTATTTCCTACTAAAACAATTTGTCCAAAGGCTGCTTGCAACAAATTGCTTTCTTCTATCCATTTCCAATTGAGCTCCAATTTCCACCTCTGCAGGTTTTAATATTCTTACTAACTCATCAGGAGGGAAAGCAATTGCAACACCATTCAGTTACCCTCAATATTAAATTCACCCTCCAACAAGGATGAGACGTCAACCTTGACATGCTGACGTTCAACAGTTTAAATCCAGAAGAAAACAGCATTTTTGCTCTTGAATTTCTGAAGTTAGAATTTTTGAAGCAGAAATTCCAAGTTTAAAGAAATGTTCTGATCTTCCTAAGAATGAAGAAATGAACAGAATTTTAAGCCAAAAGGCTCTTTAGGATTATCCAGTCCAACCTCATTTCACAGACAGGGAAGGTGACTTGCCCACGGTCACGTGGCTAGTAAGGAGAAGAGCTGACCCTGGAATCCAGATGTTCCGACTCCCAGACCCTTATCTTTCACTCTGCCTTATTCTGCCCTCAGAACTGCCTTACTTACTGGGTCAGAGGAATGCACGTCTGTTGAGGGTCAAAATCTGCCTTAAAAATCAATACGTCAACCAAGACTTATAGTTATAATTGGACCTGGATTTAGGCCAATTACACCACCTGTGATTGGTAGCTGTGTGCTCAGAGTTAAGAGCAGACTGGCACAAACAATGGGGTCTGACACCCCCTGATGAGAGCTCCAAGGGAAGGACAGCAGGGCTCCCGCAGTGTCACCTCACTGCTAAGCTCCAGTGGAACCAGTGGCTCGTCTGTGGGGTGGAACTAGGACCTGCCCCTTCCTATGTGCTTAGTTGCCAAATCCTTTAGGCTTTCCTACTCCAGGTACAAAGCAGCCTGGAAGGTGAATAACTGGTGATGCTTTAACTCATTCTCTCTTCTCCAGACTTCTGCTCTCCTGTGCCCACCTCACGATGAGTCCAACATTGTCAGGGCTTCCCCTGCACCAGTGGCCTGGACTGAAACGTCAGCCTTTCTCTGGGAGGAGACAGTGTCTGTTTTGGCTAGGAGAAGCTGCGAAAGGGTCAGAAATCCAGAGACCTAACGAAGTACATGGCTCTGAAAATTTCTTCCTCCTTCATCTCTGGTTCAACGAAATGCCCCAGGTGGGGGAGACCCAGTCAGTAGTACACACACACACACACACACACACACTGTTGTGGGATCCACAGACTATTAGGTGGGGTTTTAGCCTCCTTGCTTCTTGAGTGGTCTAATAAGCACACATTTTGTTTGGGGCAGGAAGAATGGTTGAAGTGTTCTAAAATAGAGTTCTGAAATCTCATCAATGGCCTCAGATAGCAATAAATGCATGTAGGTTTTCTTAAACATGGGGTGGGAACTAGGACAGAAACCAGGGACAGGCCAGAAGAGAAGCAAGCACCTCCTGAGTCAGCCAGAGAAAGACAGGGAGGCTCTAGGGAACATCGAGTGAGAGTCTAGTGTGCCAAGGACACCCAAGGCATGTCTGTGCCTTAGATTCTTTGGTGGCAACACCTGAGATTTGCATAACTCTCCCAGCAGAGACTGCTGGAACAAGGGGTCATCATATCCTGGAGCTATCTGGAAAAGGAGCAGCAGCCCTGGAAAGACAAACAGGCAAACTTTGGCCAGAGAAGCTCTGGAATAGCTATATCATTACTCCCAAAAGTGTGGTTCCGTTTTTGAAAAATACAAAATGAGAACAGAGGGTGTATGGCTGAGAATACTCTCTCTCCCATGCTGATGATTCCCGTAAAGACTCCAAAGTGACAGACCTGAGTCCCACGCTGTGGGCCAAGCCTGCAGCTACTCATTCAGCTCGAGCGACCCGGGGCACTCATGAGGACCCAAACCAGCAGGTGAGGACCGCGGGTTGTGGCCACTGAAGAGAGCAAAGGCAGGTCGCTGTCCACTCCGCACAAGGAGAGAGAGACATGCTGACACCAGCACAGGGAGAACTGCTGGCTGTCAGAAGCCCTATGACCACCGCCTCGTGGGCCTCCGGTCAATGCAGCTGTGAAGGAGCGGCGTTTCATCTCTGGGGGGAGGCCAGAATTTAGAGTTTATCTAATAAAATTAACTGCATAAGAGAGAGTACCTGAAATTACCTGGGATGGTTTACACTTTCATGAGTTCTTGGCCATAGAATCCAGTATTCCTGAGATTGAAAAGCTTATAAACTTCTTGACACAATGAAGACTTTCAGGCAAGAACAATCATCTTTTACCGTGAAAGGGTCACGTGAAGCAGCAGAGGTGTGACACCAACCTCAGAGTTCTGACAACCTGCCTCCAACACTTTGGAAAGGCACAGACAGATCTGAGGGGACTCTCTGTAACCCCTTTACCTGGTCTATTGAATGGAAGAGGGTCAAGCTAGAATATTTTTCTAATAATCCAATTTTCTTTACCTGAGAGGGAGGCATGATTCCCTCTTCCCCCATATCCAAAATGTGTCAGGATTCAGTCAACAACTGTGCCGATTTCCTCCCCCTGGAGTGAAGGAAATGCATATGGTAGAAGAGATGGAACTGCTTACTCTAGTTTAGCATTCCCTGAGAACTGAGCACACAGTACCCCCATGGTAATACAAAGGCCCCAAATAGTAGGAGCTTCTCAAACAGCTGGAAATGGAGGAGAGAATTCTGTGCATGCTAAAAAATGGGGTTTTGCCACAGGAGACACAGCTCCTATTCTGGAACTGGGATCTTGAATCATAGCTTCTGGTTTAAAGAGCACGTGATGTTTCAGAGGTCCATGGAAAACGAGGCTGTCACTTTTAGGAAAGAAATTAACAGACAGTGGTAGTACATGTTAAGAGAACGGACCATTCTAAACACTGAATATCACTGGTGACCCTAAAACGATGAAGATTTAAATGACCTGCACACTCAAAATGAGCCAAGGAATAAAACTCCTACAAAAAGAAGATACTACAAGTATTAATATGGGGTCATTAAGAACTAAAGGTTTGGTTTTGTGCTGGATTTATAGCGTATTCTGTCCGGGTCTGGGCATGCTATTTTAAAAGGCTGTTTTTGTCTAGAAGAGAAGCAACGGGCAGGAAAAGCACGTGTGTGAGCAGTGACTGAAAGGCCAAGGGGGACGTCAGGTCGGGAAGTAAGGCGAAGGGGAGGCCACCAACGCACACATCTGAAGGGCTGTCGTGTCAGAGAGCTGCAAAGGGCAGATCTGGACACAGGGAGAATCCAAAGGCTGACTTCAGCTCCTATTAGGAACAACTCTCTGGTTATTAGAGCTGCCCAACTTTCGAGTAGTAAATGCTTGAAGCCACCAGAGGTGCCCAATCCTGGGTCGAAGCTCTGGAGGCTGGGGTCCTCGTGACACAACAATGGAAAGCTGGACCACATGATCTCTGGGCCTTACCACTCTCAATTCCATGACTCTCATCAATGGGTTGAAAGTGCCTCATTCCTTTAAACCTCTATTAAGCACCATTTCTCCTGTTAGCTTCTAAGAAAGCAAATGCCTCTTCCCTAAATCTAACCACCAGAAATCAAATTCACCACCATCTGACAACACAGTGGGCTGCTATCTTGGATGTCACCATGTTGCACGTGTCCTCAGACACTATACTTCCACCATATGTGTCTTTCTAGCCCGCACCACTCCCTGGTCCATCCCACAACAATCTATCCTCACCCCCTCTCGTTCCTCCTGATCCTGACTTCATTTCTCATTGGGAGCAGGTGCCAGAGTGAGGAGAAGAAAACAAGGTCAAAGGGAAGCAAGGCAGACTGGGGTATCCAGAGCCAAGATTTTCTAATAAAGAAAATCACTCTGTAGGGGGAAGATAAGTGGGAGATGAGAACCATGGGCTGACACTTACGCCATGGTCTGGCTTTGCAGGGACAGGGCCGGTGGTGCCGCCACCCAAGGCACCAGAGTGATGATTTTCTAGTCTCCAGAATAATGATTTTCCACGATGGCCAAAGACAAGTGAGGTCAGGTGCTCTGTTCTACCATCGAGTATGTGTGTGTGGGGTGGGGCAGGGAAGAAAAAAATACAAGAAAGGAAAGGAATAAGTGAAGCCAGGGCCAGCTGAGTCTTGGAGAAAGGGCTAGACACGAGGGAGGAATAGGGATTAAGACTAGTCAGGGATGTTGCTGGGTTGTTGATAGAAAAAATAAAAACAAGTCAGTTCCTGAGAGGTGAAGATTAGAGAGCCTCAATGCAGAGTCACTGTCACACTGTCACTGACTCTAATAGAAACACAGCTCCAGAGGCCGCCTGATGATTAATTCAACATCCTGCTGCTTCTCTCGGCACCCCAGACAGGATCCCGCAGTGGCTGCTGCAAGACTCACCTATATCAGAGGACACGGCTCAGTGTGAAAAGCTGAGGAGTACTGGTTTGGGTAGAAGCCTTACATGTTTGAACCGAATCCAATGTGGACAAAGTAGCTGAGCAGCAGGAAGTTGGGGGGCCCACGGCTGAGCCTGGTGTCCTCCCCAAAGCCTTCTCCAGATGGCTCGGATGATCACAATCATGCTTCAATTAAAACCATCATAAAACTTGGGGTGGGGGTGTGAGAGGAACAGGGCACTGAGAGTGCAGAGAAAATGTACAGTGCAGAGGTGACTGAAGAGGGTCAGAAAAAAGTGTCCTTCCACCAAAACATCCACTTCTTTGGTTGGAAGGCAAGGGCTGGAAAAGAGAGGTAGGGGCAGCAAATGCTGTCCCTCCCCTCCCTCTTAAACCTGGAGCCCAGTCTATTTAGACAGTTTGCTGATGACTCTGATGAGGGCACCGTTTTCATCTTTCAGCCTCTGGTTGTCAGATTTCAGTTCTGTTAACACCTGTAGGGTGACAGAGGAAAGGTGTGTTAGAGCCTGGTGGGTCCCCTCCTCTGCCCTCCCTGACCAGGCCAGCCCAGCGAGCAGGGCCTTCTGAGAGGTGTATGGAACAAACCGTCACCACCCCTTCTCCCAGGGATGAAATTCCCTCCAATCTTCCTATTTGTTGAGTTCATAATGTTAACATTTAGGGAGACCATAGCCTCTCCATCTTTTGAACTAGCATATTTAGCAGTGATATCATATTTCTTTGTATACAGACTTCACATTACACACTGTATATCCTTCCATTCTATTTTCAATTGCTCTTGTCCTTGGACTCACCTCTTGTCTAGGGAAATTGGGGAGAGTGCCAAAGTGGGCTGGTGAGGACATAGGGAAATAATCCAGAAAGGAGTAGGGAGGGGGTGGTCAACCGAAAGAGCTAAAGGAGGACCCTGCTTCACACCCCATCACAAATAAGAATGCAGGCTACAGAGGCAGACCTCAGCTTTCCTGCCATGTGCATCAGATGATTTAAGGGTCCTCCTCTTGGTGTCTTCAGTGCATAGAGTCCACCAAAATTCTCACTGGTTGTACTACACGTATTCACTTTCAACCACTAAAACCCAGAAAACTTACAGTCTCAGAGCTGTGAAGTACAGTGAACACCAGGTATGTATTTAACTCTCCCCAAAGCTTCCCCATGGATCAAGGAATATAAGAGGCTTTATCAGCAGTTTTAGGGGAATAGATGCTTGCAGGGAAGGGAAGGGAGTAGAGATTGGATTCTATCAGTTCTGCCATCTTGGATTCTTACACATACTGTTGTCCAGTGTATGAAAGGAAAAATAACAGCCTCAAGTTCCAGCCTGGATATCCAAGTCTTTATTATGTGATCGGGCACTTTAACAGTTATGCTGTACATCTAAAAAAATCCTAATGGCTGTTGATAAGTATACAGTTTATGTGTGGGCCCTGTTGGCACAGAGATTTAGGTTAGAGGATAAGTACGTCTCCACTGTGAAGTCTACAGAAATCTATACCCACCTCTGTTCAGTTCAGATGTCCTTTGATTAGTCATTTAAACCTGGCTTGAGAGGTTTTGAGGACTTAGTTCTAGCTCTGGCTCTATTAAACCACTTAGAGGATCTCACTGTACCTTAAGTAATCTGTGCTTCCTCAGTCTCTCAGGGAAGATGCAGGTTAAATTATATATTAAAAATATATGCATATGCACCATAGCTACGAAAAGAATTTATATCAGGGAAACAAAAGGAAAACACTATGGAATATCTATTCTATAATGTGGAAGGCACTGTGCTAGAGGGTCTCACTTGTGCCTCATGAGACCGATATAGTTGTTATCCTTATTTCTACAAATGAGGAAGTGAATTCCATTACTAGTCCAAGGCACTCAGCTATTAAATGGTAAAGATAATACTGAACCCAGGTGTACTTGACTCCAAAAATTTATTCTTTCATTATAGGTGGGCTGGGATGAAGACAACATACCAAAAACTTTTATAGAGCAGAAACTGAAATTCTAGCATTGTCATTGTCATTAATGATCTCTATTAGTTTAGCAGGTCACAGAACTTCTTTGTGTTTCTATTTTTTTTTTTTCTTATCTATATAAGAACAAGAGCCTTTTTTTACAACGGGGGTCCATCCATCGTCTGTGGTGAATATATCTTGCTCTTGCTCTGTAAACCTATCTTACCCTTCCTCAATAAATTTCATTTCACACTTGCAAAAAAAATGTGAAAAAGAAATTTATATGCATATCATTCAGTATTTTGCCTTCCCCAAAATTTGTTATGACAC